TTACTACTATTGAAGACAGAATGGGCAAGTGCAGATTGTGAAAGATCTTAATTACACAACAAGCTGAATGTGAATCTTTAAACAAAGGCATAAACTTTAAACATGAATTGGTTCAAGAACATTTGATGCCCACAAAAAAATGATTACCATTCCACAATTTCACTTTCATAATTGTTAGTTGCACAAGATAATTCTGAAAGCATAAACGCTGTCTAATGGGAAGAAAAATATGTTCCTATTCCAGTTCTGATCATAAGTACCTGGTCAAGTCATTTAGCCTCTCCTTATTTCAGTTTTCCACCTTTTGGTACAATTATATCCATTTAACTGTCAAGATTCTTGTGAAAAGTATAAGATAGTAGGTCTTACAACTAAGGGACCAATGTAAACCAACTGTAGATGTAGAAATCTGAAAAAACAAACAAACAAACAAACAAGCAAAAAAACAACAGACCTTGTGCTATAATTTCTAAATTAGAGAAGTTATTACTTTTAAACCTTATTTAAAAAGTGATATTGAAGCTATGTTATAACAATGCACTTTAAAAATATGAATCAGCATGATAATCTAGAAAGATCTGCTAGAACATTTTATACTATTTATTCTCTTTCTCCATCTTTAATGTTATTTATAGTTTTCCAGGTTTTTTAACTAGAAAAAATTAATATATAAATGTAAGGGAATTTATTTCTTAACTTAATCTAAATAGAATTTTGAGCTCTGCCATTTTAATAATTGTGATAAATTATACTTTAATCTTGACATTTTTGTTTTATGTTTAAAGACTCTTTGGAGATTTGTATTGTCAATGCAATCAAAAGCACAACATAAAAATTCAGTATAATCATAATGTTTCTATAGATATTACTACAGAATTTCTTGATCTTAAAAACAGTGTTTCTGTTGTTATTGTTTAAATGTGTTTAATATTTACCAATAGAATTCAAACACATTTATGATATTTCTTCTTATTGTCACATTTATATAAAACTCAAGGTTGAAATATTTACCCTTGCCTAAATACACAAAGACACTACTTACTAAGAAAAAGAGCTACAAAGGGGGAGGAAGAGCATTAGGAAAAATACCTAATGCCTGTGGGGCTTAAAATCTAGATGACTGGTTGATAGATGCAGCAAACCACCATGGCACATGTATACCTGGGTAACAGACCTGCATGTTCTGCACATGTATCCCAGAACTTAAAGAAGAAGAAGAAGAAAAAGAGCTACAAAAGCATAGGAACAACAGTTCTCAAACATGGATACTCATTCTTAACATATCTGAATAACCTAACAACTTCTGCATAATTAACATGTAATTTTTGAGCACAGAATTCACTTTAGTATAATAATTCAGATTCTGTGCATGTTCCTAAAGAAAAAAGACACTTGGTACTATGACCATAAAGGAGTTGGTTGAACAGTGGTGCCATGTACTCCTGTAAGTCAGGCCAAAAAATTTGGTTCCTAGCATCTGTCAGAATACTCACCAAAAGCCCAGAATAAAATTTCTTAAACTGTTTTTCTTCTAAACAATGTATTTAATTACTTAATCACATAAACATCTTCAACCAGTGAAAAACAACAGCCTAAAAAAAGACTAGTTCCAGAACATTGAAATTTCAGTGCAAAATTGTCACTGTTGCCATTTAGGTGCTACATCTGCATGTTCAGATCCTCATTGAATAGGCCTAACCATTTAGTACAGAATCAAGCACTAAATTTACCCATATATTTAAATGTGCTGGACTTACATTTCATTTTTATAGGGAATTAGATATAATATCTGATTCCTTGACTTGAATTGCTTCTAGGTTAGGAATCAAAAACTCAAACTTCAATATGGCCCAGATTACGACACTGAAGTGTGAAATGGGCATATGGTAGGAGTGATAAATTTGAAATCACAGGCTAACTTTAAAGACACAGCAGATCTTCAATACCAGTCAATTATTTTCATGCAAATGTGTGGGCCCATTTTCTAGATTTTCTAACTTGTGGAGAAAAGTTCTGGATTTTAATGTGTAATGTATTTTATATATATTTATTTTTAATTTTAAAAATTTTATTGATACATATTAGTTGTATATGTTTGTGGATAAAGATGGTATTTTGATACCTGCATACAAAGTATAATGATCATGAGGACAATTGCAATATCCATCACCTCAAACATTTATCTTTTCTTTGTGTTGGGAACAACTAATTCTGTATTTTAAAGACCCATGTGATCTAAACAAAAAATGCTAAATTACTGATGACCCAAAGAAGACCTGTGAGGGATAGTTTTGGAGTCTTAAACTCTAGCTACCAAAACTGTTGACATTATTAAATATCCCTGATTTACCATTTTGAAATTGAAAAAAATACCCTCTTAATTGTAGTATATAAATACTTGATTATTTTTGTATCATATACATTCTGTAAATTTACCTCCCCAGAGGAAGGCAAACTATGAGAATACATACTGCAGACACCATGATAAAAATAACAGAGCACTTTCAAGTATGGTTATTTTGACCTTCAGTTTGTTTTCAGGTACCTAGTAAAGAATTTTGGCCAATATATGTTGTAAAATATATAGGGTATTACCATTTATGTTTTAATTCAGATAATACCAAGGACAACTGCCACTTACTATATTATCTCTACTTAGTACAGACAGCCTTATCAATTAACAGTTTAAGTAAAAAGATGCTCTAGTATAAATTAGACAATAAATATTCATAGACACTAATATGTTATGTAGAGTATTTGAGAACAAAAACCAAAAATTTTCCTACAAGGAGCTTACAAGTTTAATCTATAATTAAAAATGTGACCACCAGGACAGAATTATACAGTAAGTTATATTGAACAAAAATAGATTTAAAAAATAGCATACATACACATCTCTCCAGATAGCTGGAGGTTTATTACAATGGAGAACAATAAAGAAATCAAAAATTACATATCTATATATGCATATTAATAGAGTGATTAGTTATATAATTCAGACTATCAGAAATTTTGCTTCCACACTGAACCCTTCCCTCAACTTAATCTCTCACTTTACATGGCTTTATTTTTCCTTCTGCTTCCAGAAATATGTGAAGAGGGGCCTCCTAGCTTTAAGACATACCTCAGACATGTTGGTCCTTCCAATTCTAATTTTACTTACTACCTTTTACAATAAAGTTTATCAAAAATCAGAAATTTCTTGGCTGCCTGAATTTTTAAAGTGCCATTCATCTTTAGTGGTGAAAGATCTCTGAAATGTGATTTGCAGCTAAGGAATGTGGCTCCCGGCCAGAATCAAAGTACAATCTTTCTGGCCTGAGCATAGGCCGTTACAAAGGCTTTGCCTGGCAAACCTCATCACATTGTATTTGGTGGGAGAAAGGTGTGCCGGTCACACTGTATTTGGTGCAGTTTGGAGGAACTGAATGCAGTACTCAGGCCCTCTGGCCAGCCATGCTCTTGTGCATATCTGCATTGATAGCCCAGGCAACTTCATTCAGGGGCCTCCTTTTACGGGGACCTTAGGTGCCTTTTCTGGGACCGCCTTATTTGAGGGACTTGGAGACCACTTTTCTCAACTATGACTGAGTATTCAGTACTTTTCTACTGCTAGCCATTTCCTTTTCCCTCCCACTGACTCTTGTCAGAAAAAAACCCTTAGGAACCTTTTGTTCAGAAGTTCCTAAGTAATGAGACAGTGCTTCACTTCTGCAGTGATACTTCTGACCCTTGCTCAGTGCCATTCTGTGAGGAAAATGGAGCATTGATGGAACAGGCACCTTCTCTGTGGTCTCTTGATTATACAATAGCAGTAAATGAATAAAGGCTTAATTATTACTTCCATTTTGGCTTGCTGTTTAATTGGCCACTGTGACATCTGGCAGCTCTGCTCTCTCCAGCCCAGCTCTTAACAATAGCTTTCCATGCTGTAATGGAAATAGCCCCTGAAAGTCATGCAACTACTGATGTTCAAACCCAGTACATTGCTTGCTTATTATTATCACTCTGATTCATGTGAGATGCTTGACAATCACGTCTTCTCATCCCCCAAAAGTCTACAATTGGAGCTTCTCATGACTAAAGAAAGGACATGATGACTAGAGTCAGACTGTTTTGAATTTTGAATTTGCTTTTTATTTCATATAAGAATGTCACCGGCCGGGTGCGGTGGCTCACGCCTGTAATCTCAGCACCTTGGGAGGCTGAGGCGGGTGGATCACAAGGTCAGGTGTTTGAGACCAGCCTGATCAACATGGTGAAACCTTGTATCTACTAAAAATACAAAAATTAGCCAGGTGTGGTGGCATGTGCCTGTAATCACAGCTGCTTGGGAGGCTGAGGCAGGAGAATCACTTGAACCTGGGAGGCAAGGGTTGCAGTGAGCCGAGATTGCGCCGCTGCACTCCAGCCTATGTGACAGAGTGAGACTCCGCCTAAAAAAAAAAAAAAAGCAATCACCAAAAACCTGGGAACCTTAATTCCCATGTGTTTATTATAATTAAAGACATAATATTACTAATACTGATAACTTCTAAGAATGTTTTGAGAATTAAATGTAAAATGTATGTTGTAACCCCTTTTGAAAATTTACAAAGCCATAACTTTATTTACAAGAGTTTTCTCCTAGTTCTGTGACTGTTCTCTCTTTACTTTCCTTTTCCCATTTCATTATAGAAGCCCTCTCCAAAATAAATCTTTAGGCTTTCTTCATTTTCTCTCCATTCTCTTCCTCTTGGGTCCTGATTAATGCAATATTCTATTTAAAATATCTAAAAATGTAATATTTCAGTAAAAAAAGATCAAATTAAGCAATCCACAATCTAAGGACTATGACATAGGAAAATAACTCTATGTTTTAATTTTAGTAAAGTTACTGTGAAATGATCTTACCATCTTAACAAAACACTATTTTACAAGTAAGTTTCATGTATCCTTTTTCCCTTCCTCCTTGCCTTCTGTTCTCTTAGGATATTTCTCTTTCTGTCATTCCTTTACAGCTGCTGCACAAAATGTCTGGTCATGAGCAACATGGGTTTCAGAGATGCTCATCCTCTTTCTGGCGTAGTAGTGGTGATTCATCTCCCTGTCTCAATATTTCTTCCGTCTCTGTCACTCCTGTCAACTTGCCTGATTCAAGACTATCACTTGGAATGTTAATACCACCACCTTCTAAATGTGGCTTTCCCAAGCCAGTCAGTGAGAGCAGCATCCCAAGACCTCATGTAATTTGCTAAGCAGATAACTTTTTATTATCCCACTTATTTTGTTTAAACTCTGCCAAAATGTGCTATTTACAAAGTTATCAAAAATTTAGATGTATCTTGAATCAACATGATGTGATCTGGAGACTTTATGTGCCATTTTTGTTTGATTTGTTTACCTGATACCAGAAAGTGTAGAAATCCTTTGTAAATTTCTACACTATCACCACCAAGTATAGGGTGGTGATAGTATAGAAATTTACAAAGGATCTATCAGATATTGTAATTGGGAAATTAGATCATTGGTAAAAGCAATTTCGGTAGAGTTCAGTGCAAAAAGAGCAAAATCTAGATTGCTGAGAGTTAAAGATTGGATGAAGTAAATATTAGGACAGAACGTGTAGTATCTCTTTCAAAGAGCTTAGCCTTGAAGGAAAAGGAAAGAGATGAGAGGCTGGAAGATTAAAGAGGGACAGAGTAAGTAAATTTTTGGTTGGTTTGTTTTGCTTTTAATGACAACCAAGATTTTAGAATTTTTGTATCCTGAAAAAGAGCAGAGATATAGAAGTGAGAGGGGATACAGGAATGGGATAATTAAGGGAATGGTATTGCTGAGTAAGAGGAAAGAGGTAAGGGGATACAATAAACAAATTGTTATAGAAACGGGGATGACAGCAATTTTCCTGCATGGAAAATAATATACTAACAATTATTTTAGCTGAGTACTAAATCCATCACTCTCTATACACATAAGCCTCATTTTTCATCACCTGCATCACCTGTGAATCAGAAAAGTAAACATATTCTGAGAAATCTAATTTTAATATGAACCACTCTAAGCAATCTTTGTTCACATTCTCACAGGAAAAGCAAATTTTTCATCACTATTTTCCTCAAAATGGAAATTCTCTCTTTTTTAATCCCTGATCCAATCAGATGGTTTTCAAAGGCGATTATACATATATACCTATTGTCCCCTGTTTGATAAAGTGATGAATGTCTAATTTTTATATTACTTCTTGGCTACAACTTCATGAGATTTTTATTTATCTGTCCCTATATGTGTTCAGTTCTGACCCACACTGTTGTCAGAAAACTCAGTGATTTGGGCAGTACATAGGTGATTATTAATTTAGTTTATAAGATAGCTATTTATTACAGAAAACTTGATGAAATCTTTCAAGAATAAAATGTACTGCAATGACTATCAGTTTAGTTATAAATACAAACTAAAATAAATCCCACTTTTGAGAATGCAAAAAATATCAATTGCATTTGAATGCTTGTATTTAAGAAGGCGAGTCACTTATGTCTAATTATTCCTGTTTAAATGTAATCTTATGCAGAATATCTTACTGAAATCATATTTTTATGTGAATAGTTTCTAATATATCTAAGTCTCAGTTACAAGTAGCAAGCACTTCTATGTATCCAAAACATTCACTGTATCTTTTATATCTATCTGGAATAATATTGTTACCATTTTTGCAGAAATTTTCTATTGCTTTCTTCTTAATGAGCATTTATCATAATTAATAGAACCACATGAAATTGCCAATACTTAACTATTTTTGTTCTACAAAATGGCAAACTCTTATGATTCAACTGAATTTGTTTATATATGTTACATATGCATATGAAATATTTAGCATTACAATGTGCCTATATGAAATACTACCCTAATTCATATTATTTTCATTGCAGGTAGGCAGTATGGCACCTAAGTCGCCCTCCACTGACATCTTTGATATGATTCCATTTTCTCCAACATCCCACCAGTCTTCGATACCTACTCGCAATGGCACACAGCCACCTCCAGTGCCTAGCAGATCTTCTGAGATTAGTAAGCTTTCTCAACAAATCAATGTTCCTTGTTATATTTTTGTACATTTAAAATTATACATTTAAAATGCATAATTAAGACTTTGTGGGAAATTATGTATCTTAACCTCACTTACAATTTTAATTATTAAAGTATTATTTTTCTATATGTATAAATTTCCTTAATTATAATTTACTTTATAATTCAGACTATACTATTAAGACATCTCTATTTGCAACTTTTACCTATTCTGTGAACAATATTTTGCTGTATTACATAATAATATAAAATATTAATTATATATCACTGTTTTGGGATTATATTTTAATTTTTTACTTTATTAAAAATAACTATATTATTTTATTATATTATATTAATTTTGACATGTTTAATAGAGCTGGTTAAAATATTTTTGTCATCATAGGGTTTATGAACTTTTTTAGTTGAAAAAATTATATAAATTATATGAATTTCATGAGCATATTAACCTTTTGTAAGGGTTTTTTCCTATCTAAAATGCTATAAATTCATTGCTTTTCTGTTTTATCTTTTATATATCTTGAATGAGCATTAAAGTCTCTATCTGATGAATTAGAAAACATCTAACAGATGCTCATTTTCAATATCTTGACTATAATATATATCCATCTGTGCCCTGTGACAGAAACTGAAAGAATAAATCTCAATGGTCATGAATCAGTCACTATGTCTAAAAGGAAACTGAAGAAAGGAGGGTTTTACACATTCTGCTTGATAGCATACTGTCTAGTTTACATTAAGTCATTGTGAATATAACTAGAAGTTTTAGCTTAAGACTTTAATACATGGCAGGGCCCATATTATATTTGTTTCCTCCATGGAATTTAAAATACATTGCTCGTGTTAGGTATTCAATACATGTTAGAGGACTAATTTGTGAATACAAAGTAATAAGACTAGTGTATTAGTCTGTTTTCACACACCTGTAAAGATACAATCTGAAACTAGGTAATTTATAAGTGAAAGAGATTTAATTGACTCACAGTTCTGCATGGATAGAGGCTTTAGGAAACTCATTGTCATGGCAGAAAATAAAGGAGAAGCAAGGCACATCTTATGTGGCAGCAGAAAAGACAGTACATTCAGGGGAAACTGCCAACTTTAAACCATCAGATCTCATCAGAACTCCCTCTCTATCATGAGAACAGCAAGGGGGAAATTTCCAGCATGATCCAATCACCTCCCACCTAGTCCCTCCCTTGATAAGTGTGGATTACAATTTGAGATTGGATTTGGATGAAGACACAGACCCAAACCATATTATTCCACTTCTTGCCCCTCCCAAATCTCATGTCCTTTTCACATTTTAAAACCAATCATGCCTTTGCAACAATCTCTCAAAGTCTTAACTTATTCCAGCATTAACCCAAAAGTCCAAGTCCAAGGTTTTATCTGAGACAAGGCAAGTCTCTTTCACCTATGAGCCTATAAAATAAAAGACAAGTTAGTTACTTGCAAAATACAATGAGGGTATAAGCATTGGGTACATGTTCCCATTACAAATGACAGAAATTGGTAAAACAAAGGAGCCACAGTCCCTATGCAAGTTTGAAACCCAGTGGAGCAATCATTAAATCTTAAAGCTCCAAAATTATCTCCTTTTACTCCATGTGTCACATCCAGGGCATGCTAATGCAAGGGATGGGACCCAAGGCCTCGGGTAGCTCCACCCCTGTGAGTCTGCAGGATACAGCCCCCTTGGCTGCTTTTATAGGCTGGCATTGAGTGCTAGGCACAGAGTGTAAGCTATTGGTGGATCTACCACTGTGAGGTCTGGAAGACAGTGGACCTCTTCTCACAGCTCCACTAGGCAGTGCCCCAGTGGGGACTCTGTGTGGGGGCTCCAACCCCATATATTTCCTTTGCATTGTCCTAGTAGAGGTTCTCCATGAGGGCTCAACTCCTGCCACAGATTTCTGCCCAATCATCCAGGCATTTCCATACATCCTCTAAAATCTAGGCAGAGGCTCCTAAAACTCAACTCTTGTCTTCTGTGCCCCTCCAGGCCCAACATTGCATGGAAACAACCAAGGCTTAGGGTTTTTCCTTCTGAAGCAATGGCCTGAGCTATATCTTGGCCCCTTTTAGCCACAGCTGGAGCTGGAGTGGCTGGCATGCAGGGCACCACATCCTGAGGCTGCACAGAGCAGCAGAGCCCTGGACCTGGCCCATGAAACCATTTTTTCCTCTCAGTCCTCTGGGCCTTTGATGGGAGGGGCTGCCGCAGATGTCTGACATGCGCTGGTGACATTTTCCTCGTTTTCTTGGCTATTAACATTCAGCTTCTTTTTACTTATGGAACTTTATGCAGCAGGCTTGAATTTCTCCTCAGAAAATGGAGTTTCTTTTCTACCACATAGTCAAGCTGCACATTTTCCAAACTTTTATGCTCCGCTTCCCTTTTAAACATAAGTTCCAATTTCAAATTATCTCTTTGAGAATGCATATGACTGTATGCTTTTAGAAAAAGTCCAGTCACATCTTGAATGCTTTGCTGCTTAGAAATTTCTTCTGTCAGATATCCTAAATCATCTCTCTCAAGTTCAAAGTTCCACAGATTTCTAGGGCAGGGATAAAATGCTGCTATTCTCTTTGCTGAAGTGTAAGAAGAATGCTGCAGTAACACCTTGATAGCTGTTTAAATATCTACATATCCCTGAGTATGAAAGTTTAATAAATATAGAGAAATGCAGATTATATAATCTATATAAGTGAGTCACTCCAAGTCACTTCTTGTCATTTCATTTACTAAATTTTTTCTTCCTTATACAATGGGACCTATTTGAAGCAGAAACTTTTGAGCAAATCTTCCTTTTCATTAACTCATTTTTAAACAAACATCTCCTATGTGAAAAGCATTGTTCAGTCTGCTTATGGTATAGTGGAAACCAGGACATTCCCTCAAAGAAAAGATCCTCTGAAATCTAAATTTTGATTTATTGCCTGAGCAACACTAAACTAAGGAAAATAAAAAATAGCAATTGTAATACTCCGCAGTTATATATAAGGAAACAATAAATTTCCATTTGATTAGGATAGTCCTGGCTTATAGATTTTGTCCCAGTGTAACTATTGGAAATACTCCTTTTACTTTTGAAAGTATCTGTAATCGGATGATAAATTATATGTCCCCCTTATTTATACAATGCTTGTAAGTACAAAGAGATTATAAGAATTTCACACTTATTAACTTAGTTAAAGCAAGAATCTGGAAAAAAAACAAACATGAAAACTTGAAATGTAAGGCTCCTTCACAATGAGAATCACAGAGCGATTTTACAGGATATGGCAGAAATCAAGTAGCATAAATATTTCTTACATAGCATTGAATTCAGAGAATGTAAATTTCTCTGCAAAATGAAGGTATGACTATGTTACAAATACAAATTTTCATATATAATTTAATATTTTTCCAATTAAGGATACATTTGAATTGATACAGAGGCAAGGAATTTCTTAAGAATTTTATTTTAAAATCTCATAAGAGACAATCTTATGAGATTTTATCTATCAATGACAAATATCAATTTTGTCATCTATCAATGACAAACATCAATTTTAACTTTGATATTCCTTTAGTGATTAAAAGTAGCAATGCATATTTTAGAATATATGTACAGAAAGCTTTTTGATACTGCATCCCTGCTGCTTTTAAAAAAGAAATGTATTTCTGGGATAGGAGGCATTTTTAAAGAAACTATCTCATAGTGGCTATCTAGAAAGGTGATGTCATTACATACTACATGAGGCAAGTGCTTTAAAATTTTCTCTGGATAAAAGGAGAGAGAACAGTGCATGAACTTTGAGCAGAGCTATCTGTAAGTCTACTTAGTCCTACGTATTGCTTTACTATTGTGTTGCAAGGCATCAATCAATGGAATTAAGGTAGTCTCAATGAGTAATGCATTAATTTTAACAAATTTAAATTGTTTCAGTAAAATATAGGTATTGTAATTTATTAATTAGCAGCACTTTGATGAATCTGATATTAAGAAATCTTCATTAAAAACACAGAAACCTCTCTAGATAATAATTCTTTATAACAAAACTTTTTAATATAAAATGGATCTTTTCTTCCTTACGAATGTTTAACTGGTCTAAGCTCAGGAAAGCACAACATACAGTATAAGTGTGGATTAGTGGCTCATTTGATTATGTAAATATTCATTTATATAATCCTGCCTTTGAAATCACTCCAGCTCACTTCTTGTTATTTCATTTGCTAAATTATTTCCTTCCTTTTAGAACGGGACCTGTTTGGAGCAGAACCTTTTGACCCATTTAACTGTGGAGCAGCAGATTTCCCTCCAGATATTCAATCAAAATTAGATGAGATGCAGGTGATTATTTTAATAGATTGGCTGATAAGTGTTTTATTTCATTTTGATCTGGGACAAAGAGGATGTTATGTACCAAAACTATGGTTTCCTTCAATTATTTTCACTATAAAAACTCAGTTAAAATAATTACTTAAAAATAATAATGTACAGTTAGTCCTCAAAATACTCCTACATATGCTAAGGATAAGGTTGTTGGTTATTTAATGGTTCAATTACAATGGCAATAAGATGAATCTTTTTTTTTTTTTAATACAAAGTGGCATGGATTCTAATGGTTCATTGTTTTGAAATCCAGAGTTTAAAAGTTATTGAATTAGATTTATAAGATTTGATCTCAGTTTTAACAATTATGAATTTGAAAATTGTAAATGAGAAGATCAGGGAAAATCTCTGTAAGATTAAAATTATTCTCTCTGAAAAGAAGCATTGTAGCTGTAATTCATAACTTTTGGGCTTTTATTTAAAAAGCAGACACCCAGTGACAACTTCTTTAGGAATGTGGTCCAGTTGGGTTTTCATTTCTCTCTCTTCCTTTTACTTTTTTGTTCTAAATTGATCTGAAGTTTGCAGAAATCAGTTTTAAAAGCTTTGCACTATGGACCATTATTTAAAAATAGTCTTATGAACACTAAAATAAAGTCTTCCCTTTATATTTGCCCTTTATATTTTGGTGAAGTTATTATATCCTATTTTTCATCAAAAAGTTTATATATGGTAGAATCCAGACAGACATCAATTATATGAAGCTGATTGAGAAGAGACAATGAAGAAACTAAAGTAAGGACAAGGAGGTATTTTTGTTTATTAGTCGGGTTAATACTTTCATTCTCTATGCCTCACTTCCTTGAGAAAACAATTATGGGTGAACTCTGGTCTATCACTGATAATTACAATCCTTCTTAGAAAGTTCATTTAAATGCGCTTTTACTCATTTATGACTCCAGCTGTGTAGCAATCTTATTTTCTAGGTAGTGCATGAGTTCATTTTGTTCTAGATATAGTAACATGCCTGAATTTAAAAGCTGAGTTTCTTAACATCTGCCTTCAGGTTTTCAAAAACTCTGTTATAACAGTGTTTCTCAAGTTGAATCATTCTTAATTCCCTTTTACATTAAAAATTATTTTAGATCCTTAGTATTAACTTACAATTTTTAAATTTTGACAAAAATGTTATAAACAACTTGTCCTTTTAGTTTTTATAAAATTATGACTCAATAAATTATAAATTAAATGAAAGCAAAATTACAAAACCAGTACAGGATGGATGGTCTTATTTTTTGAAACTAAAACCAACATATCAAATTTCTGTTGATTCCAACATGTATTCTGTCTGATGGAACAGATTTCTTACTTCTTTTCTATGTTTCATATACTATGAAACTTTCAAATGGTGCATGATAATTTAGCAAGAATGCTGTATTTCATATGAAATAAATTCCTTTCCTTTTATATTTCTTTTACCCATTGGACATGTACTACTTTGGACTAATATTTTTGTAGTAATAAAGACAAATATTGATGTGGTAGTATTTATTCTCAAGGGTTACCCAGATCATACAGAGTACTTTTCTACAATTTTTTTAGATTTTCCTAAAATTGGAAAAAAAAACATTAATGAGTTTCAAAGATACACCTCTATCTCTAGATTTTGTTGGAACCAAGTTTGAGACACACTGTATTTTGTGATATGATAGTCAAATAATGTTAAACTGTGGTGGTTTTGCTTTTGCTGTTTCTAATATTTTTTTAATGTCTTTCTTAATTCTTTACTGCTTTCATGTGGGTAGCGCCAGAGATGGTTGGTATATTATTTTTACCATATTTTTAAATAACTTACAACTTTTAAAGCTGAAACTTTAAAATTTGCATACTTTATTCTATAAAAATTCAAACAACAGCTTCATATGGTTATAGGATAATCTGATAGTTATGTTTCAAGAGGTTTCATAAACCATATTTTATGATTATATTTCAATGACTTAATCACTAGTGCATTGTCTACTTTCTTTATTTTTTTCTTTTTCTTTTCTTGAGGCAGAGTCTTACTCTATCACCCTACCCAGGCAGGAGAGCAGTGGCATTATCTTGCCTCACTGCAACCTCTACCTCCTCAGCCTCCCTAGTAGTTGGGACTACAAGTGTGCACTACCTATCACACATGGCTGATTTTTGCATTTTTTGTTAAAAACAGGGTTTCACCATGTTGTCCAGGCTGGTCTCAAACTGCTGGGCTCAAGCAGTGTACCCAGTTAGGCCTCCCAAAGTGCTGGGACTACAGGCATGAGCCACCATGCTTGGCCATGATTGTTTTAGTCCAAGATTTACTTGCAAGGTCACTTTAAAGTAAAATAATATTTTCTTCATCTAAAGTCTATGATAGCTTTTATTATTAATCTTGCTAGCCTAATGAATCTAATACACAATTTAGCAACTATATTTATCTTTGCATATCACATAAAAACTTAATATAGTACAATGGGTTGTGAATACCTATTGTGTTAATAAGCCTAGTGAGACATTTAGTTTTCATCTTTCATTTACAGAGATTGTAACTAAGCTATTTTTAAGGGAATTGAATTAAGTTTGAAATCACAGAAACATCTCAGGCTTGTAAGCATTTATGCAGAAATGTTAAGCCATATTTCAGTATAAGCAGTTAGAAGATTAAACATTTATTCGAAATCAATAATATAGTTATTCGGTTTGACATAATTTAAATTTTCCAGTATATATCACCAACAGGAAAAAAAGTGGAATAGTATTGATAGCCCACGGTGTACCATGTGAGCTATAATAATTTAATACATTGAAAAATAAGCATGGCAAGGTTGCAAAGGATGAAAGAAGCATGCACAAATAGTGTTAAGTCAACATGTTCATACTCTGGGAGAAGATCAGTGTACTGCTGAAACTTACAGCAAATGCCGAGATAAATTTCAGAAGTAATCAACATTTATTTATTTATTTATTATTGTACTTTAGATTCTAGGGTACATGCGCAGATCATGCAAGATTGTTGCATAGGTACATTCATGGCAAGGTGGTTTGCTGCCACCATCCCCCCACCACCTATACCTGATATTTCTCCCCACATTATCCCTTCCCCACCTTCCCTCTCACTATCCCTCCTGTAGCCCCCCCAACAGACCACAGTGTGCGATGCTCCCCTCTTTGTGTCCAAGTGTTCTCATTGTTCAACACCCACTTATGAGTGAGAACATGCAGTGTTTGATTTTCTGTTCTTGTGTCAATTTGCTGAGAATGATGGTTTCCAGGTTCATCCATGTCCCTACAAAGGACATAAACTCATCGTTTTTTATGGCTGCATAGTATTCCATGGTGTATATGTGCCACATTTCCTTTGTCCAATCTATCATTGATGGGCATTTGGGTTGGTTCCAGGTCTTTGCTATTGTAAACAGTGCCACGATGAATATGCGTGTGTATGTGTCTTTATAATAGAACAATTTATAGTTCTTTGGGTATATACCCAGTAATGGGATTGCTGGGTCAAATGAAATTTCTATTTCTAGATCCTTGAGAAATCACCACACTGTCTTACACAATAGTTGAACTAATTTACACTCCCACCAACAGTGTAAAAGTGATCCCACTTCTCCACATCGTCTCCAGCATCTGTTGCCTCAGAAAACCTAGGCAAAACCATTCAGGACGTAGGCATAGGCAAGGACTTCATGACTAAAACACCAAAAGCAATGACAACAAAAGCCAAAATAGACAAATAGGATCCAATTAAACTTCAGAGCTTCTGTACAGCAAAAGAAACAACCATTAGAGTGAACCAGCAACCAACAGAATGGGAAAAAATTTATGCAATCTACCCATCTGACAAAGGGCTAATATCCAGAATCTACAAAGAACTGAAACAGATTTACAAGAAAAAAACAAACAAATGCATCCAAAAGTGGATGAAGGATATGAACAGACACTTTTCAAAAGAAGACATATGTGAAGGCAACAAACATATGAAAAAATGTTCATCATCACTGGTTATTAGAGAAATGCAAATCAAAACTACATTGAGATACCATCTCATGCCAGCTAGAATGGCAATAACTAAAAAATCTGGAGACATTTAAAAATATTTACAGTACTATTGAATATTTATCAGACTTTAAATTAGAAAGAAAATTTTATAAGGAAAAGATAAGTATGGACATATAGTATCTGTTTTTTAAAAAATTTGCTGTCTAAAAATATATAAATACATTACATATACATAATTAAAGCAATTAGACAAATGACTAGGAAACTAAAGAATCAACAGATAAATTTAAAAAGTGCCAGTTTGCAAAAGAAGATCACAAGTGGCTTACACATATGTAGACATGTTCTGTCTAATCAAAGTAAACGTACAAATCAAATAAAGAACTGTAAATGCCATTTTAATCTAGAAGATGTTTTTAAACTAATAATCAAACAATACAAGTGAAAGTGTGATAAAATAAGCACTCTAAATTATTGCCAGGTCAGAGTTAGTTTAGAGGTAACTCTGGCCTAGCAATCTCTTTAAACAGTAACTTGTTATTAATCTTTTATTTTTATTTGATATCAAAACTTTAAAGTAATCTATTGTGAGGAACAAATAATTATAAATGTGTTCAAGCTCTATAAATAAAAATACCTAGTCAACATTATTCATAATTTTAAAATGCTGGGAAGCAATCATCATAAAAATTAATAATATTTTATATAGTCATAATAAATTAGTTTTGTGGGAATTTCAAATAATCAGGGTCTGCAAAGATGAAAAGGGGAAGATAGAAAACTATGTATATGTAATATAATACTTATATAAGAAAGTTATATGGCATAAATGTATAGGTATTGACATTATTATTAAAATCATTTTTAAACATCTATAGATAGAAAAAAAAGACGTACTTTAAAATGTAGTGGCTTTTCTTTCCTTAATATGCTTTTCTATTTCAAAATAAGAAAATTCTTCAAACTATTTCATGTAAAAAGCATATGGTGAATATTTTAATTATTTAATCATTCTTTTGTGTGACATTAGCTTATGATAATTCCCATCATCGCATAAGTGAATAAAGCCTCATTTTTATTAAGAGGTTTGAAGCTTAAGGGAATATAGAATGATTCAGAGTTTATTAAATTGTGATTTGCAAAGTGGGGCTTATGAAGAAGATCAGGAAATGTGCGGGAAATTTTATCTTAGGAAGAAAGAAAATCAAGAAACCTTATAATATGTAAGGATGCTCAAAAAATCAATATGGAGAGGCCAGATGTGGTGACTCATGCCTGTAATCCCAGCTCTTTGGGATGCTGAGGCGAGCAAATCACCTGAGGTTGTGAGTTTGACACCAGCCTGACCAACATGGAGAAACCCCATCTCTAAAAATAAAAATAAAAAAAATCAGCCAGGTATGGTGGTGCATGCCTGTAATTCCAGCTACTCGGGGAGGCTGAGGCAGGAGAATCGCTTGAACCGGGGACACAGAGGTTGCAGTGAGCTGAGATTGTGCCATTGCACTCCACCCTGAGCAACAAGAGCAAAACTCCATCTCAAAAAAAAGTGAATATGGAGATAGATATTATTGTAAGTGACATACTAACAGGTTATTATTAAAATGGTAATTGACCTCTATTTTACTTTGATGGCTATTCTATTCTATTCTGCTTTTCTGTGTCTGATAACACATTGACAAATAGTATTTTCAGGGTAATTGAAGTGACGCTAGTTTACTGTCAGAATGAACTGATAAAATTTAAAAGTGCTGTATGGTATCAAACATTTCCACACATAACTCTCTTTCTAGTTATCATTATCTATTGATGTATCATATATCTGCCATTCATAATCTACCAGATGACATAATACACAGAGCTTCAGATAGCCTAATAAAATAATTTAAAGAAAAGTTTATTTACAGTATTTCAGTTTAAAAAATTTATTTTTCTAAGTATTTGCTGGGTGTTTGAAAAACATAAATAAATATGGCGAAATATATTTTGTGATAAGAACAGATTTTTTAAAAATAATGATAAGTACTCTTATATTTACTCAACTAAATAAAAATTCTTTCTAAGTACTGGAAAGACATTTTTAAAAACCTTCACAATGATTACATTGTGCAGCTTAATAACTACTTTTCTCCTCTATATGATGATGTTTATATTGGAGTTTTACAAATATAAGAACATTTGCATACTTATTCTAAATAATAGTAATTTGGGGTATGCAAAATGATACACAATTAGTTAATCTACAGGTAGATATAGTCAGTCTAATTAAATAAAACATCCAAAGCAGAGGTGAATGAAAACCAATGGTTCCCTTTGAGAGACATTTTGTTTTCTTTAGAAATACACTGCTATCTACATATTATTTGCCAATAATGTGTCATGTGGCCATTCCAAATGACAAATTACCTTTCTGAAACATTTCAGTTCTGATAGTAAGAAAAAAAAAGGTAGAGTTTGTATGGAGCACTACCACATTTGCATCTAAAAGGAGACCTACAATATAACCTCCACTTTCATTGATCAGTGCGAGTCTGTGATTTTCATCTTTTTGTAGGCCAATGTGTATAGATTTACAAGAAAGGTTAGGAATGGGAAGAGGTGGTAACACTGGAGATGGCCCACAGTTCAATTATCTTATGCCAAAAAAAAGAAAAAGAAAAAAAGAGAGAGAGAGCAAGAAAGAGATGGGAGTGGAGAAGGACAGACTCCTTTACCATTAACTTTTAACTCAAAATCTTGGGGGATAAACAGTTTCATAGCAATTGTGTTTCTTACACTCAATAAATCAAAGACAACTTAACTTCTAAAATATGCAAAGGAGAGTAGAAGTCAAAGAAGCCAGTCCACTATAAGCAACAGCAAGACTAGTAGGGAAAGCTTTCTCCATGGCAAAGTAGTCTGCAGTTGTGTGTTCCACAGAGGATATGGCATTGCATTTAAAAGAAATATTTTGCCAAGGTTCTGGTCAGGGCTAACCAGGAAGAAAAGGTGAAAATCATCAGGCTATCTTGAGCCTCTCATCATTTTGAAGCTTATCTTAATAATATTTAAATTAATCATGTTTAAAGCTAATAGATTTCAGTTACAGTAGAATGATGTAGTAACTAGACTTTTCTGAAAAAGAAACCTTTATCTTCGAACTACCTAATTTTATGTATTTTCTTCTGTCTCTCATGCATGCTAACTTCACATATCTCTAAAACATTAAAATGTTAATGGGGTCTAAAAGAACTGCCAGTGCTATACATCTATATAAAAATTCAATAAGTCAACATTTGATATGAACTTATTTATTAGTTGATCAAAGCATGAATATTTCAACTTCAATTCATAGTCTTTTCTATTCACTGATTTTATTTTATTTTATTTTACTGTGAGCATTTCTGATATTAATGATTTTATTCTCTTTTACAGGAGGGGTTCAAAATGGGACTAACTCTTGAAGGCACAGTATTTTGTCTCGACCCATTAGACAGCAGGTGCTGATGTCAAGAACAAGAAATCCTGACTCATGTTAAATGTGTTTATATACACATGTCATTTATTATTACTTTAAGACAGGTATTATTCATGTGCCAATATGTTTTTGAATATTTTCATGTTTTGAAAATTATTTCAGTTAAATTTCCTCACCCTCACTATTGATCTGTAATTTTTATTTTAAAAACAACTTCCTGTAAAGTAGTAGATCATACTTTTATGTTCCTTTCTGTTTCTATTGTAGATGAATTATAATTGAAAGACATATTATACAAATATCTGCCTTGTGTCTGAGTTCTATATAGTTAGCATCTTGAGATTTTGTATTCATTTTCCCAGATTTCTAGTTTATTAATGATTTGCCAAAAGCCATACCTTAATGATAGATAACTTTTTAAATTCTGAAGAGATATACCAACGCCAAACTAAACATGTTCTGTTTTCAAACTAACAAACATGTTACTATTCATTAGACAGTTATCATTTCATGTATAAATACTGTTCACATCACTGGGAAAAGGTAAACTTTAAATATAATGCCACAAGGTCACTTAATTCCTAGCAGGTAAAATTATAAGGATATAAATTCCAATAATAAACCAAATGTATTTAGAGTATTTATTAGTAAATGCAAGGTGATGTTAGTTTTGATCAGTTATACTCCAAATACATAATTTGTTTTATAAAGATAGTGAACAAATGAAAATTTGCTATTTATTAAAAAAAATTTAAATTTTATTTCAAATGAGATAAGTTACATTACTATAATGGCAAAGCATCATCTGATTTGATATTCCCTAAAAATCATTTGGAATACATGCTATCTATAGTTTCAGTGATATTACCCATATTTACTTTACCAAATATATTTCTCCTCACTGCATAAGAACTACCCTTCGCATATTTTCTTCTTTGATGAAGATATTTTTCACCAAAGTTTATTTTCTGATACCCTATTATTTTGATACTTTAAAATCTGCACCACCTGTTCTGTATGAATTATCAATATTATTTGGTAAAGTCAATTTGTATTTGTTTTGTTAAAGTCAAAAATCTCAGTTTTTCAAAAAAACCTAGCTGCTGCTCAGTCTAGTCTTGAAAATGAGCAGTAAAATTCTCTTGCATTTCATTCTTGATAAACATGTGACAGACTAATTTGTACTCAGTAAAATAAAAATGTATGGTCAAAATTTCTAACTTGTTTCATCACATTATAAAATAAATAAACTAAATTAATGAAAATGTGACTTAGGTTAGGAGTAGCCCTCAAAAATAGATTCATCTTTCACTCATGGGAATTTTCTTCAAGTGTTAAAGGTACATTTTCACTAGGAAAGAAATCAAATATGCTTACGCAATATATATTTGTGTGTTTTTCCATAATGTTATATGGTATATATGAGCCTTCTTGTTTAGTTTCTTTCATCTGCTAAGTTCTACCTTACTTAGAGGGAAATATATGTTTCATAAGGAAGAGTCTTTATAATTTTGTTTGTCAGATAGTATTTTGGAATTTGTATGAGGATGTTTAGAAGCCTTATAAGTGGCTTTTTTTAACAGATAGAATTTGTATTTTTATTGTACTTTAAAAAGATTTATGTAATGGGTATATATTTAGTGGCCATTTATTATCAATGGTAACACAATAGAGTACTAAGATGGTATTTGCACACTTAAGATATGTTACTTTACCAATTTTTAATGGTAATCAACTCTGCTACTGGCATGATTAAATAGTACATAATCGGTCATTATTTCTCCAGTGCGTTTTTATGAAGATCTGGTTGAAAATTGTATTTCTATGTAAACTCAATGATATGTTTGGTTTTCCTGAAAATAAATGATTTTAGATAAATTAAATTGCATAATTCATTTGTTAAACAATCTCTAATTAATATAGACACATTCTGAAGCTAATTATGTAACAGATTTTCTTGATCATAAATGGAGCTGAAAGAAAAGGAGAGAGTGAGAGAGAAAGGCAAAGAAGAAATAAAGAACTTTACCTCTAACTTCATTTCTTGCAGCCCACACACATTTTAACTTTATGAGCAAATATCATTCAGTTGTGAAAACAGTGAACTGATCCTGCTGGTGAGAGAGGTCATGATTTGCTTCCTTTTACCAGAAGCATCTAGTGCAAAAACTGTATTATGTAAATATCAATTTCATAACTGGAGGCTTTTTTAACTTAGCAATAATATAAAGGCTGATAGTTTTATAAAGATGGACTTGATAATAGAATGTGTGTTATGACTAAGGGTGCAATCATGAAGTTTTGAATCAATTTAAAACATAATGTTAAGTATTTTGGGGACAGGGGACTCACATACACAGCCTTTGAACACCAAGGAACAATTCATCAATTCATTCGATAAAATTCATTTAGTACTCACTTTATGTGAATAACATGTACTTTGTGCATAAGAAAACATCTAGTAAGTTTGCTAACCGATACGTTAAAGATATTATTAAATTGACAGGATCCCTGATTTTAGTCAGTTTATTGTCATAAAGGGAAAGTATGGAAAGCCTGTAAATTAATAAATAAAAGCCAACATGTATTACAGCACTGTGTGAACCAAAAACTTCCCTGGGAATATTTATATTTAAGTGTGTTTCAGTCTGGGTACCTCGTACTAGCTGATGTCAGATATCAGACTGCCAATGTGAAGTTTATCAGGACAGGCCAATGGCAAAAATATTTTCATCTCTTTTTGTTCTTTTATTTTGGATTTGGACTTTTTAAAAAAATTTCAATAATATTATGGGAATGTATTTTCAGTAGGATATCTGATAGATAATATGTTGCATGTCTAAATAGTGATATTTTTTATTCGTTTTTATGTTACTTAGCATAACCCTGAAAAAACTGGCTGTTAATGTTTTTCTATTCCAGTGTTTCCACATATACTTCCAAATTCAATATTTACTCATGATTTTGGGCTTCATCCTCTGTTAAATTACTTGAAGAATCTTGGACTCAATTTTGACAACTGAATTTCAGACTCCACCTAAACTACACCCTTTATAGGGAGCTCATTAATTTGACAGTCATGGTTGGAATTGCCCTTGGACCCCTGCAGAAAGTGTCTTCTTCCTATATGACTTTAGATAAATATTTAAGATCTCCCCCCTCTAATGTCTGTCTCACAAACCTTAATTTGACACAAACCTTAATTCTTGTATATTTATTTCATGTTTTGACCTTTTGTTGTTATGGTCCATGATAATCCACTAATGAAACCCCCTCCCCCAAAGCATAATTTCTCTAGAATTCCAAGTGGGATTTTCTCAAGCTAGCAAGAACACCATCTCCTAAAGTCATTTATGATCTATTTTTTTGCTTTCAAAATATAATCTGAGAAATATGAATATTATTTAAGTAGCAGATAGCATTGTCTTTCTCTGGATTCATTTTTTTCTGCTTTACTTCTTAGCTTCTAATAAGTACTGTAGTACTTCCAAAATCAGAGTTAAATAATGCACAAAAAATGGCATGCTTAAGAAGGAGTCGAGTTTAAAGGCGCACTTCTCGTTTTCTAACAGTACATGATAAATTGAAATAACCAAATTCCTTATTTCTGTATCATTAACATTGTGCTTTTTGTCAGTTAATAATACCACCAAGACTATGTAACACAAATTTTGTAACAATTTAGTTTCTTTACCTTAGCTACATTTTTGGCATTCATTCAGATCTATATACAAAATTCATTGAACCAAGTCTTCTAGTTTTCAAGTGATTCTATAGACACCTTAGAATATTCATTAAGACTTTTAAAAGTTTATGTTTCCATTAAAGAAGACCTGACTAGAAGCTATAGAAGTTGTCTTCTTAAAAGCATTCTCCAGTATTCACTGGAATAACAAAGATCTCTATGAAAGAATACTCTGAAATCTCATAATATTTTCTCAGTACCTTGGAAATAATCAACTTATGATAATTAATGTGTTTTGTAAAAATAAATAACACATTGTCTAAGAAATATCTTTCCTTTTGTATTTTTAATAAAACATTTTTAAAAATTTTGCTATGTATTTTTCAACCATTTTGAAGGAAGGCTTGCCTTCACATCCTTCCTCTTTGGTACCAAGTACAACACTTTGTCCATAGCATTCATTAAAAGATTGAATAATTATTTAGATGCTTCTTGCTAATTATCTGAACTTAGATTTTTTATGTTCTCTTGGAAAAAAACAACATGTCTTCAAATAAATGTTGAGAGAAGATAACCACTATTTATTTTCAATAAAATCTTTATTATTATTTTAAATTCTATTGTAGCAATAATTTGCTAAGTAAAGCTCTTGGTAATTGTTGAAGTTTGTCTGACAATCACCATAGAATCATAGACTAGTCTGGCCCAACTGATGGAGGAAAAACAAAATAATGGTTACTGAATGTCAAAGAGGCTATGAAGACTCAAACATGAATGTTATGTAATTAAGGGACAGGGCCTGTGCTCAAGGGGTTGAAGAAGTATATATAGTAAGCAAGTATATTAAAAAAATGACAGTTAAAAACTCACACTGTAACTTTTCTTGATTCCCATATTGTGGTCACAGATTTTACTGGTTTGAAGTATTTTTAAGTTCATTTTTCTGTCCTTAACTTTTTATTGTCCTCTTATTTCAAATGAGCTTTCAGAAGAATATGTTGGGGTCCTTCCCAATTGCCTACTCCCTCCCCTCTGTCTGGCTAGGCTATTATGTTCTAGTCTGTTCCAAAGGTCACTTGTTCCAGTTGAAATAGCTGTCTGGATGGCCTGGAACTCATCCAGACACTGGCTCTTTCCCGCAAAGAAAGCAAAGATAGATGTTTGCTTCTTGGCTACGTTTTGAAAGGAAAAAAATAAAAGAATTTTATGCTTGAAAAAGATCATATAATTCTAGGAACCATTTAAAATTGTCATTATTTTCCTGTTTTGTGTCTGTTTTTCTTTTTTATATACTTTTCAAAATCAGTTGTTTACTATCAGTATCACTAGATAAATAGGCAATTGTGTGTCAGGAGTATATACAGTTAGATTTTCATGCATTTTCATTAAATAGTAATTTCTTTCTGTCTCTCTCTCGCTCTCTCTCTCTCTCTCTCTCACACACACACACACACACACACATACTTCCTTTAATTCTTTATGTATCTTATTCTTAGTAGCTGCTTTAATTAAAGAAAAATAAACTTGAGTAAGGCTAGGCAGTACAGGGAATGGAGGAGACAGGTAGTGAGGGATATTCATAAATCTTCATAGATATCAACTTACCCACACTTGGCAAAGTGGCTATATACACATATTTGACCTCTTCATTTTTCAGAAAAGTTGGACCATCTTTGGCCCAGGGAGTATTTAGAACCATGCAGTTATCTGAAAAGTTGTTTCTACAGTGATTTCTCTTTAATCTCCCCTAGTTTCCTCATAATGCCTGCAGTTTTTGTCTTTTCTACATAAAAGGAATTAAACAGAAAAATAGCTAAAAATAAGCTGGTTACTGTTTTATTACTTGCAGCCACCAATGGCAAATAGAAAAACAAATGTTCCTTCCTTGGAATCACTTGAGTTTGTAAATTTCAAAACCATTTAGTTCTTGAATTTTTAAGTAACTTCTAAAAAGATTACTTATGATGAACAAAGTCTGATCTACAAGGAACTGTTGAACTAAATTGTTAACACTCTATGCTTTGATGTTAAAGCTTTGCTTACAGCTTTAGTTCAACCTCCTTTGACATTGGGAAATACATGCAACGGGGTTTTATGTCACTTGACATTCACAAACATTAGCCATTCTTGGTATAAAGAAAGGAAGAAATTTCCGCCAAATAAACCTAAGACTTTAAAAAATTACCAGAAGAATCGTGTATTTTACATTATTTAACTTGCCTACTAGTTGTAAATAAATATTGAATCAATGGCTTCTAAGTAAATAGTGTACCTCGCTCAGAATTAGAGATCATAATTGTCCTGTAAAAAGGGACAGGAACAATCACAAAACTGTTCCATCCTTTGAATCTCTGTGTTGTAGAAAGTTTTACATAAAATATTTCCACAAAATATTTTGTGTAAAATATTTCCCTTCATGACAATCAAAGTTGAATGCAGGGGAAAAGCATGATTCTCTCCTTTCTCAACCTTTCCTGCCCTTAGGTACATGTTTAAAGACAGACCTCAGCAGATATTTACACTTGTAAAATAGAGCCTTTATTTCTCTACAAAAATGTTATTGGCTGCCACATTTTCAGGATGACTTCATGATGAATATGGCATGTCTCAAAAGAATTCCAAGGCTCCCCCTCTTTCCAAGTGAATATTAAACCTTAAAAATTCCAGCCAAAAAAATTCAGTATTTTTTGATACATTGAAGTATCAAAACCCAAGTATTCTTACATGTACTCACATGGGATAGAAATGTTTAGATTCACAGAGAATTTGTTCTATACTTGGGTTTTGCAGGAGGCTGCCTGTATGTGTTTAGGTTTTGTAATGTTTGTGACTATGAATACTAGAATACTTTCTTGAAATAGATTCAAATAAAACTTGCCTTTGAAATGTTGAGTTATACTCTTTGAATGGCTTTTTTTGGTCAAGTCTTTCTTGTTTGTTTTAACTATAAAAGAAGAGAAATGCAGAGAATATTAAAAATTCTCAGCATGCCGTTAAATCTTCCAAAGGCAGCAATTGCCCTGTGACTTTCTCATCATTTTGCATCCCTTCCTTAATCCTTAATCACAGAGCTGAAGCTAGAGAAAACAGCTGGCCCTGTAAACCACAAACGGCTCAAGTTTTTATTATGTTATGCAAATTGATCAAAACTCTACAACTTTTTAGGAAATAATTTATAGAAAGAAAGACACATAAACA